TCGCAGTCGGAAATGCAGTGCCGACGGGGCATTGCATTTCCTTCTGCGACGAGGGCCCAGGGTCAAAAAAAGGGAAGGAAGGGCGGGAAAAAGGACGGGGCATTGGATTGAGGTCAAGGAAGCGGGACAGGGAAGAAAGGGGACATGAAGGAAGGGACAGGGTTTGGGTAAGGTTGGGAAGAAGGGGGGGGATGGGAGGCGCAGGAGGACGGAGCAGGGAGCCTCGCAGCTCCTCTCTGCAGCCATCCCGCTGCCCACCGAACGCGAGCGAGGGCGGGCCGTGCTCGGGCACAAACGCTCGACGCACGGGCGATGACAGATTAAGTCAACGACGACGTCAACGAAACAAAAAATCTCCATGGCCATGACACCGACGACGACGAAAGACAACAAAGACGGCGATGGCGGCGATGACCACGGTGGCGGCGGCGGCGGTGGACGACAACGACGGCGCTGGCGACAGTAATGACGGCCACGTCTGCGGCGACGGCGACGGAAGCAAGGGCGAGTGCGTCGGGCGGCAACGGCAGCCCGTCTCGACCTCGCATGCACGCCCGTCTGCCCTGTTCCTGTTCTCCTCCTCCTGTCCTCCTGTTCCTGTCCTCCTCCTCCTGTCCTCCTCCCGTCCTCCTCCTGTCTTATATTTTTTTGGGTGGGCTGGCGTAGTGAGCGAGCGGGCAGCAAGTACCAAAGGAGAGCACCAAGGGAGAAGGCGGGCGGGAGAAACGCACCGAACGAAGTGTGCGAGAGAAAGATACGGCAGCAATGCGTTGATATTTTTAGACGCCAAGACAATGATAACATCATAAAACAACAACTACATAGCAAAACAACAACTATACAGCTAAAACAACAACAATCCTAAAGTTGTTGAAAAACCACAACTAGAGGACCTCTGGGAAGTCCTGAGCCCCTCCGGCCCGTCCGCGGGAACAGGGCCAGCGCCGGGCGCGCCCTCGACCTCAGGCGAAAATGCCAGCGCCCCTCTGACGACGACGGGGAACGGCATCTCGGGCAGCCGACCGCGGGGGGGACGGAGACGGCCCGCAGCCACAAGCTCAACGCCTCGCCAGCCTTCGACCGCCTCCGTCACACGTACTCCATCGGGACCCGCTCGCCCTCAGCGTACCTGTCGAGTCCGCGCCGCCCCCGCAAGATCACCGCCGCCGAGATCCCGACCCCGCGCGCGAAGCCTGCCGACCACCAGGCCGTAGCGGCCGCGCCGCGCTCGAGGTCCGTCTCGCTCTTGCCGCGCTTCGCCAAACTGACAGTCTTCTCCGGCTGCAGCTCACGACTAAACGTCACCGCGTTCCCAGCGCCAGCTTGCCCAGCCCACTCGGTGCCCATGCTGTAGCCCTCGAGCACCTCCGAGCACGAACCGTGGCCAGCAGTGGATACCATTCAGGAAGTCTGGTCGGCCGAGCTCGGACAAATCAACATCCTTTCGAGCGCCCAGACCGGATCATCATCATACTGCTCCAGCACGCGCCTCCCAAGAGCAGCGCCATCGCGCCGCGTGAACGCAGGACTCCCCATCAGCACTGCTGAGCGACGCCAGCCCCTAAGCAGAGCACGTCGCGGCCGCCAAGGCCACCAGGCCGCAGCCTGCCACGGAAGCTCCGCGATGGCGACGAGCCCGTCCTCAGCCCCCCGCAGCGGCTGCGGGCAGGCCTCCTCTGGCGCCGGGGGCGCTGGGCCAATGCACTCGGGCGCAGCGTCCCCTATAGTCGTCCACGACGAAGGGCCCGCAACGGGGCCGGCGTCGAGCTCGTGTTCTGGCCCGCACTGCAGCCGGAGCTCACCCTCAGGAGCCGGCGCGCCGGGCGGGGAGGCGCCGCGGTCCAGAAGGCCGCCACAGAAGGTCACAATGGCCCCGAGAGCGCTGGTCGGGCACATATCTGCATACCCGCTGAAAGCTCGAGCCCCAGCAGCGGCGGGGGCAGCTGCTGAGGGGGCTGCAACATACAAAAAGAAAATATAAGCAAACTCGTGCATCGCACATATATCCTGCGGTGTTTGACGGATTTTGGCTTCTGTTCCTTTCCAGCTTTCCGACGGCCCAAGACGGCCCGAGATGCCCCAAACATCGCCCAAGGGGCCTCCAAGATGGCCCCACGACAACCCAAGAGGCCCCCAAGAAGGCCCCAAGACTGTCCCAAGACGGCCCAAGAGGCCCCCAATACTCCCAAGATAGCCTCCAGGACGGACAAGATGGCCTCCAAAATGCTTCCAAGACGCCCAACATGGCCGCCCAGACGGCTAAGGTGGCCCGAAGATGCACCCAAGACGGCCCAAAATGGCCTCAGGATGGCCTAAGACGGCCCTGTAGGCCTGCAAGAGGCCTCCAAGACGGCCCAAGAGCCCTCCAAAACGTCCTCCAGGAAGGCCCGAAAGGGCAAACATTATGCTTATTTTCCTCTCGGCGGCAAGCACACTCTGTCGCGAGACGGGCCCTGAGATTCGCCACTGAAGCATGAGGGAGCGTGACCGACTGAGGGGCCCGCCCGCAGTCCAAAAATTCGAATTGCAGATCATCGACAACCGCCCCTTAAATGCGGGCGGCGTGGGCGGTGGCGGGATGCAAGCACCGCTGACGACAAGTCGAGGCTATCGGAGCATTGCCGTGGCCCCCGCAACCATGCTTCTTTTCCTCTCGGCGGCAAGCACATTCTGTTGCGAGACGGGCCCTGAGATTCGCCACTGGAACATGAAGGAGCGTGACCGACTGAGGGGCCCGCTCGCAGTCCACGAATTCGAATTGCAGATCATCGACTACCACCCCAATGCTTTAGGGCCCGAACTGTAGTTCTCAGCCACGGGGGGCGGGCTACCGGCAGGTAAACGCTTTATAACAAAGAGCGAGGGCGAGCGCTACAATCAATTTGCTTTGAACGTGCTGGAAGGGAAATTCCGAACATTGGTGGCAGCAAAGTTCTCGCTAACAGACTTGCCATCTTCCTTGGCCACGCAGCGGCTTCGCGCGCGCGCTCCTCCCTTCTAGCGTTATATGCTTCTTACCCAAGAAAGAACAGAAACCGTGCCGCCCCGTGCGCTGGACAGCACCAGGACGCCCCAAGGCTCCGAGGTCAAGGCCATCTCCTCCGAAGACCAATCTCGTGGCCTTCCGATGGGGCGTCCCAAAGGCACAATGACATACTACAGACATCCTCACGTCGATCCTATCAAGCAGGGCTGCCAAGACGGGATCATGCCACATGTAACTGCTATGCGGATGCTCGATGCAGAACGGGATTTTCATGCTAAAACACAAGCGTATTGTGCGTATGCAATCCAAAAGAGCATTCCCCAGACGCACCTTCGTAAGCTGGGGCTCAGGCAAATTTCTGAGGCCTCGAGGGAACTGCTTGCTACGCAGGGCACATTGACATTTTGTACAATGGAGAACGACGTGCAGGGCGGAGCCATCATGATAGCGATCGCCTGCCCTCGCCGCATACAACTGCGCAGCTCCGCCTCCACGACCGATCGGAGCAGGTCGCCCGGCGGCCCCGCCTTGACATCCCACTCTCGCGTCGAGTAGCCCGAGCGCCGTGCTGCTGCCGCCGCTCGCCCTGTTCCGCTAAACAGTTCGGCGACGAACGGCGTCATGGGCGAATCGGCGGCCCCGGCAGCTGGCGCCCACGCGCGAGGCACTCCTCGAGCAGGCGCTCGCAGACGAGGGCGCGGGCCTGCTGCACGTCGCTGAGCTCCCTCCAAGCGTCGTTCAGCCTGCCCGCCTTCTCGTGCCTGGCCACGCTCTTGGCCGCTCGCCAGCGGCCCCTCTTCATACATGCGTCTAAGGTCAGTTCTCGATGAGCCCTGTCGATCGAGATCCCGCTGTGGCGGCCCTGGTAGGGCACCATTCTGAAGCCCGGGGCCGCCGCTGCCTGCACGAACATCTGGTAGAACTGACTGTAGTCCCACGGGGACACGCGCTCCTCCTCGGGCCCCCTGGCGAGCCGATAGAACACGTAGCTCAGCCAGGGGGTGCGGCTCGAGTCCATCACCGCCGCGCCGTCCGCCACGCCTGTCTTGCTGCGCTGCAGGCCGCGGCTGCTCGGGAAGAGCAGGAGGCCCCAGCGGGTGAGCCCACCCTTGGCTGGTGGCAGCAGGCTGCGGCGTCGCAGTGACAGCAGCTCCGAGGGCCGCAAGTACGCCTCCACCATCACCAGCACCGCGATGCCTGCAAGGCCACGCCCGTGCCGGGCAAGCTGCAAGGCCAGCGCCGCCCACATGGGCCAGGGCAGGGGCTTCCGACTCATCGGCGGACTCAGCTGCCGCCAGCCGCGAAGGCACCGAAAAGCCCTGGGGAGCTTCCGATCGCCATGGCGGCTGAAGCTCGGGAAGGTGAACATCACGGCCGCCAGCGTGCTCTCGCCGCGCCAGGCGCGCCGGCCCGCGCTGAACTCCGCGTTCATCCACCTCGCGATGCAGTCGTCGACCTCGGCATCCGCGACGAGCGGCGCGCCCTGCTGGTCGGCGAACATCAGCTCGTTCACGTGCATCTGGTACCGCCCTCGCGTAGCCGCTGTTACGCTGTGGGCCTCCAAGTAGGTCTGGCCTGGTGGCAGCTCCTCGCGCGCCATGCGTCGCACCCGGGCGGAGGCTCGCCTGGCATCTGCTCTGGGGCGGCCTCGCCCTGGCAGCTCCTCCTCGCAGCTGCTCTCGCTGTCGTCCTCGGCGCCAGCGGCGGTCGCGCCCGCGGCCCTGGCGCTGCCGAATAGCCGCGCCGCCTCCTGGCCCCAGGGCGTCTCGACCGCCTGCTCCAGCTTCGCCGGCGGCGGCGCCGCCCCTGCCGCGGCCCGGCGATCCAGCTCGCTGGGCACCGAGCGGCGCAGCGTCCGAGCCCGACGAGGGCTGCGGCTTGCCTGCTCGGTGCGCCTGGGGGCTGCTGCGCCCCGCGGCGAGGCCAGGTCCCGCGTCGGCACCCGCGCCCGCGCCGACTGGCCCCGTGGCGGCATCCGCCGGGCCCGCGGCGACCCCCTCGAGCCAGGGGGGCTTCAGTTGGGACCGAGGGCTGGCGGGGCCTCCATGGGCCTCCGAGGACTCTTGGAGCTGGCTCTGGTCTTCACATCCCTTCCCACCTCGAGGGAAGAGGTGAGTCGCACACTTTTCTGGCTCGTACTCCTTCGCAAACAATCTGCCCCCTCGTCGCTGCTATTGAACTCCGAAGGGATCCACCTGTAACTGAACCTGAGCCAGCGGCTGAATGAACACGCCGCAGCTCGCCGAAACATCGTCAGCAGCTTGAAGTCCCGCGCCCGCGACCGCGAGAAGGCGAGGACCACTGCCATGTTGCCCCCCAGCAGAAGGGCTCGGCCGTCGTGGCCAGCGCGAATGCCAGCCACGCGCTCCACGGCTTTGATCAGCGCGCGGCCCTCGAGGTGGAGGACCCCCCCCTCGAGAGCCCACCGATCGGCCAAGACCGTCCGCCAACGATCAGCATGCAGCAGCTCCGCGGGCACCTCCTCGAAGGTCGGGTCCTGGCACCAGCGCGCCACCTCCGCCTCGGGGATCGCGCGCTCCAGCTCCGCGGGCGCCGCGATACCGCCGTCGGCCAGCAGCTCCAGGCCCGCTGCCTCCACCGCGTGCTGCCTTGCCGCGCCTGCTCCCAAGCGGTAGCGCGCCCGCTCGCAGGTGCGCCCAACGCTGCCTACCTCGCGCGGGCCCCACAGCGAATAGGCCACCCCGAAGCCGTCGAGGGAGGCGTCGGTCTGGTACAACCCAGGCATCCAGCGGGCGCCCCAGTCGGCGCGCAGGAAGATCATCAGACCCTGGAAAGCGCGCGTCCCCCCGACAACGCTGTCCCACAGCGGCGCCCTCTCGAAGTAGTGCCGCTGGATGTACCGATAAACGCAGTGAAAGCAGCTCAAACTCTCGCGCCGCACCAAGCCCAGAAAAGTGAGGTGCCCACCGCGATCTCCAGCTCCAAGCCACTCACAGCACGCCGCCGCAACAGGGCTTGGACGGCGCCTCGCACGCGCCAGAACCTGGAGGGAGCGGGGCGAGTGTGGCCATTCTGGCCATCCAGCTGCACGCCCAAGGCCCCCCCGCCAGCGTTCGTCAGGGACGTCTCGTGCACCTCCAGACCGACGCCGCCGAAAGAGGACGTGGCTGCGCCCAGTGCCGACTGCACCTGGCTCTCAGATCCGCCGAGCACCCCGATGTTGTCCACGTAGGTGTAGTGGCCCAGGGACTGGGGCCCCTCCAGGATCGGCGGGGGGGCACGATCTGTCATCTCCAGGGCGCCATCCACTCGCGCAGCAGCGCCACGCGGTGCGAGTTGGCCGGCTGGGCGCGAAGCACAGCGACCAGGCCCATCCCATCGGCAGCGCGCGCGCCAGCGGGTGCACCAGGGCGTCGCGCGCCAGGGGCTCCCCCTCCAGATGCGCCAAGCCCAGCTCGGCGGCCCGCAAGGAGGGGTAGCCGAAGCACTCCTGCAGGCCTGGCCCATCATCCAGCAGCAGCCGATGGAAGCAGTCCTTGACGTCGCTCACGCCGAGCCAAGTGCCCAGGCCGCCCAGAGCGCCCCCCGGCTCCTCGCCTCGATCAGCGCCGCTCGTCGTCCACCTCTCGATGCGGCTGAGGCCGTCACCGCTGACGAGGTCGACCCCGGGCGGGCTCCTGAACAGGCGGCCCGCCGGGCGGCAGTCCAGGATCAGCCGCTGTCGGCCACCTTTCTTCTTGACGAAGAAGATCCCCGCCTGGCATCTGCGCGCGCGACAGCCGCGCCAGGCCCACCTTCAGCAGCCGCCGAACCAGGCCGATGTAGGCAGCGCGCTTGCGATTCAGCACGGGGTCCATGCATGGTCGAATGGGGCCGCAGCGTGCGTTAATTCCGCCCACCTATTCTGGTGAGCGCAACGTGTGGCTCTCGAAACCCTTCGACATCATCCGCGCCGCCGTCGGCAGCAGCTCCGAGACGCGCGGCGCGCCAGCCAGGTCATCAGGAACTGAAAGCCGAGCGTGGAAGAAGGGGGTCAGCGTCGCATGGGCCAGCTGGGCGCACCCACCTCGGCCCCGCAGCAGCTGTGACAAGCGCTGCTGCGGATCGTCCGCGCAGGCGGGCGCGCCCCAGCTAGCCGCCAGAGTCTGCGCTCGCCGCTGCGTCTCGTGCTGCAGCTCGGCCACGCGGCAGCGCGTGGCCCAGCTGACCGGCCCCGCTGGAGGCCGACGATCAGCGCCGTGCAACCAATTCGAGCTAGCCAGACCGTCGTTCGCAAGCCGCCGCACTCGTGCCCGATCGCGTCGACCAAGGGGCGCGGCGACATCGACATCCAGCTCCCGCAGCTCAGGCTGAGGGTATACCTGCTCGCCGCGAGTGGCATCTGCTTCCAGGCCTGGGGGCGGCCTCACCCCCGGCCTGACGCCCATCGTCTCTGAGCGGCGGCGGGGGCCGAGTCGCCGGGCCTCTGCTTTCCGCGCCCGCGACCTCGCCCCGCGCCGCCCCCTCTGCCTCCGCCGTCCTCAGCGCCAGCACGAGGCGCCCCCCCCGCCTCCAGCGCGCCTGCCACGTCCTCGCAGCCACCAGCGCCGCGGCCGCCAGCTGCCAGCACCCGACCGCGCCCCAAGGCCGCCAGGCGATCCGCCTCGTCTCGAGCCGCGCGTATCGCGGAGCTGCGGAGCTCGGGCGACGCCACGTCGAAAGGATCGCTCACGCCTGTCAGGAAGCGGCCAGCCTCCCACGCGGCCGGCTGCCCTGGGGCCACGCGATGGGCCTCGGTGATGCAACGCGACCTGCGTTGTCCAGCGCCTGGGCCCTCCAGCTCGCCACCTCGCCTATCGCCGCCCGCTCACACAGGACAGGGCGACCATCGGGCCGCCGGCCGATCACCTTCGACCCCACCGCGAGATCCGACTCGTGGGCGGTCACCTCGTCGCCCAGAGCCAGTCCGCCGCCAGCATGCAACTCCGCCACCAGCAGCACCGACTCCGCGTCCTCCAGCGCCGGCGCCCCCAAGTCTGGTCGCGTGGCCGCCTCGTCGCCCGGCGCCTCGGGAACCCGCGGAGCGTCCGTCAGCCCGCGCTTGCCGCTCACTCGGCGTCGGGCAGCATCCAGCAGACCTCCGTCCAGGCCGCACTCGTCGCCGTGCCAGTCCACCATCATGGAAGGCTCCTCGCCGAGGTGTCTGCCCAGGGCGGCCGGCAGGCGACGACGGCGCCGCTCCCCGCGCGCCAAATCACGACCCTCGAGCACCATCTGGCGCAACGCCTCGCGCCCGATCTCGCCGCGGAACCGCACCGCGTCCCCGCGGAAGCCCTCGGGCCACCCATGCAGCAAGGAGGCGTGCCAACGCCAGTCGGCCTTCCGCTCGACATAACGGTCGCCATCGGGCGTCTCGATCACCCAGCACTCGTGACGTCGGTCGCGATGCACTGGCTACAGCAGGACCCGCTCATGGGTCCACTCAACGCCTGCGAACCTCACCAGCAAGCGGGCTACTGGACGCCGCTCCTTGTAGGTCGACATTCTCGCGGGCGCCCCCTGGCCGAGGAGCTTCCGCAGCGGGCACACTCCAGCGGCCCAGCCCGAAAGCCAGCAGCAGCAGCACCAGCCACAGCCAGGTGGGCGCCGCCGACGCCTCCTCGCAGGCCACGGCGCCCGCCGAGGGAGGCCCCGCCTGCAGCAGCTCCCACGCCGGGCAGGGCGGGGTCGATGGGCAGCCCGGGCAGGCTGGGCAGGGCGCGGGGCGGCAGTCGGGGCAGGGAGGGCAACCCTGAGGCCTCGCGAAAGCCACCCGCGCCGCCTCCGCCATCGCGCCGCGGGCCAGCTCCCGCAGCACGCCAGGGCCAGCCGCCGCCAGGGCCGCGCAGAGGCTCTCCACCACCATCCGCTCGGTGGGAGCCCTGCGCGCTGAAGCTTGAGACCAGACGGTGGCGGGATGCAAGCATCGCTGACGACAAATCGAGGCTATCGAAGCATTACCGTGGTCCCCACAATCATTGATGCTCCTCAGGGTTTTGAAGGACTTTGGCATTTTCTTCTTATCAGCTCTCCGACGGCAAAGACGGCCCAAGAGGCCCCAAACATCGTCCCAAGAGGCCTCCAAGATGACCCCATGACAGCCCAAGAGGCCCCACAAGGGGCCTCAGAAGGCCCAAAGACGGCCCAAGATGGCCCCGAAGACGCCGAAGATGGCCTCCAAGACGGCCAAGATGGCCTCCAAGATGCCTACAAGACGGCCAAGAAGGCCTCCATGACGGCCAAGATGGCCCCAACATGCACCCAAAACGGCCCCAGATGGCCAGACTACCCAAAATGCCCGCAATAGGGCTCCAGGACGGCCCGGGAGACCTCCAAGACGTCCTCCAGGAAGGCCCGAAAGGGTCAAAATGGCCTCCAGGCGGCCAAGATGACATTCAAGATGCCTCCAGGACGGCCAAGATGGCCTCCAAGACTGCGAAGATGGCCCTAAGATGCACTCAAGACTGCCCAAGATGGTCTCAAGATGGCATAAGACAGCCCAAACGGCCCGCAAGAGGCCTCCACGACGGCCCACGAGCCCTCCAAGACGTCCTCCAGGAAACCCGAAAGCTCGGAAACCACCTGGTCCGATAGCTCGCCCGACCCCGTGCTCCCCGAAAGCTTTCGAAACCCACTCGGGGAACGCGTGGCCCGATAGCTTGGCCAAGCTCAAACCCAACTTTCGGCCACGCAAGCGCTTCCAAAAAGGCAAGGGGCTGCGGTGATTCGCCGTAGGCGTCTTCGATCCGCCGCCCCCTGCTGGCTTGCCACAGGGGTGCCCGGCGTGCTGGATCCTTTCCAGTGTGGTTTTGGCCCTTTTTCCAAAATAACTCCCCCTGGGGCTTCGGCCTGTCCCGCTGACCACACGGAAGGGCACATAAAAGGTGGTTGCAAAAGGATGTTCGGCTTCAGACGGCTCCAAGATGGCCTCCAATATGGCCTCCAAGTTCGCCCAACCAAGATGGCCTCGAAGACGGCCCACGAGAGTCAACGATGCCTCTAAGTTCGTATAAGAAGCACCTAAGACGGCCCACGATGGCCACAGAGGCATCCAAGAGACCTCCAAGACGCCCTACGAGGCCTCGAAGAGGTCCTCCAGGGTCCTGAAGGACGGCCCGAAGAGGTCAACATCATTGATTTCCCCCACGTTTGTGAAGGATTTGGGCTTCTGCTCCATTTCGTCCTTCCGACGGTCCAAGACTGCCCAAGAGGCCATCAAGATCGCCCCAAGAGCGCCCTAGAATCCTCCAAGACGGCTCCAGGACGGCCCAGGCGGCCCCGAAGACTTCCCGTGGCTCCAAGATGGCCCAAGAGGCCCCGAAGAAGCCCCAGATGGCCTCCAAGACGGCCAAGATGGCCTCCAAGATGCCTTTAAGACGGCCAAGATGGCCTCAAGATGGCCTACCCCGAAGGCCCGCAAGAGGCCTCCAAGACGGCCCAAGAGCCCTCCAAGACGTCCTCCAGGAAGGCCCGACAGGGTCAAAATCGTTGATTTCCTTTAGGTGTCTGAAGGATTTTGGCTTTTGCTCCTTTTCAGCTCTCCGACGGCCCAAGACGGCCCAATAGGCCCCCCACATCGCCCCAAGAGCGCCCAAGAGGCCTCCAAGATGGCCCCATGACAACCCAAGGGGCCCCCAAGAGGGCCCCAAGAAGGCCCAAGAGGCCCCAAAGACGCCCAAGATAGCCTCCAAATCGGCCAAGATGGCCTCCAAGATGCCTCCAAGACGGCCAAGATGGCCTCCAAGATGCCTACAAGACGGCCAAGAAGGCCTCCATGACGGCCAAGATGGCCCCAATATGCACCCAAGAAGGCCCAAGATGGCCTCAAGATGGCCTAAGACTGCCCCAAAGGCCCGCAAGAGGCCTCCAAGACGGCCCAAGAGCCCTCCAAGACGTCCTCCAGGAAGGCCCGACAGGGTCAAAATCGTTGAATTCCCTAGGGTTTCTGAAGGATTTTTGCTTTTGCTCCTTTTCAGCTCTCCGACGGCCCAAGACGGCCCAAGACGGCCCAATGGGCCCCCAACTTCGTCCCACGAGCGCCCCCCAAGAGGCCTCCAAGATGGCCCCATGACAACCCAAGAGGCCCCCAAGAGGGCCCCAAGGAGGCCCAAGAGGCCCCAAAGACGCCCAAGATAGCCTCCAGGACGGCCAAGATGGCCTCCAAGACGGCCAAGATGGCCCCAAGATGCACCCAAGAAGGCCCAAGATGGCCTCAAGATGGCCTGAGACTGCCCCAAAGGCCCGCAAGAGGCCTCCAAGACGGCCCAAGAGCCCTCCAAGACGCCCTCCAGGAAGGCCCGACAGGGTCAAAATGGCCTCCGGACGGCCAAGATGACATTCAAGATGCCTCCAAGACGGCCAGGATGGCCTCCAAGACGGCGAGGATAGCCCCAAAATGCACCCAAGACTGCCCAAGATGGCCTCAAGATGGCCTAAGACGACCCCAAAGTCCCGCAAGAGGCCTCCAAGATGGCCCACGAGCCCTCCAAGACGTCCTCCAGGAAACCCGAAAGCTCGGAAACCACCTGGTCCGATAGCTCGCCCGACTCTGAGTTCCCCGAAGGCTTTCGAAACCCACTCGGGGAACGCGTGGCCCGATAGCTTGGCCAAGCTCAAGCCCAACTTTCGGCCACGCAAGCGCTTCCAAAAAGGCAAGGGGCTGCGGTGATTCGCCGTAGGCGTCTTCGATCCGCCGCCCCCTGTTGGCTTGCCACAGGGGTGCCTGGCGTGCTAGATCCTTTTGATGTTGGTTTTGGTTCATTTTCCAAGAAAGAACTCCCCATGGGGCTTCGGCCGATCCCGCCAAGGTCCCAAAAAGGCCCGGAAACCACCTCAACGACCGCAAACAATTCTCCAGGACTGCTCAAGATGGCCTCTAAGATGGTCACGTTGGCCCAAGATGGCCTCCAAGATGGCCCAAGATGGCCTCCAAGTCGCCAAAGATAATCCAAAATGGCTTCCAAGACGGCCCGAAAGAGTCCAAGATGCCTTCAAGTTCGTCCAAGAAGCCTCCAAGGCGGCTCCAATATGGCCTAAGACTGGCCAAGAGGCCCCCAAGAGGCCTCCAAGACGTCCTCCAGGAAAGCCCGAAAGGGCAAAAATCATTGATTGCCCTTAGGTTTTTGAAGCATTTTTGAATTTTCTTCGTACCAGCTCTCCGACGGCCCAAGACGGCCCAAGAGGCCCCCAACATCGTCCCAAGAGCGCCCAAGAGGCCTCCAAGATGGCCCCATGACAGCTCAAGTGACCCCCAAGAGGCCCCCAAGAGGGCGCCCAAAAGAGCCCAAGACGGCCCAAGATGGCCCCGAAGACGCCGAAGATGGCCTCCAAGACGGCCAAGATGGCCTCCAAAATGCCTACAAGATGGCCAAGAAGGCCTCCAAGACAGCGAAGATGGCCCCAAGATGCACCCAAGACGGCCCCAGATGGCCTCAAGACGGCCTTAGACGGCCCAAACGGCCCGCAGGAGGCCTCCAAGACGGCCCAAGAGCAAGGATCTGACCCAACCTTCGGCCAGCAGGCCCCAAGACGCCTCCAAAAGCTCACTAGAGCCCCCAAGGGGCCCCGAACACGCCCATTCCACACTCTCCTCCTCTTCCCCGTCCTCCCCCACGTGTTCCCCGAAGGCTTTCCAAACCGATTCGGGGAACACATGGTCCGATAGCTTGGCAGGGCTCTGGCCTCGATGTTCGGCCACATAGGCGCTTCCAAAAGGGCAGGGGGCGGCGGTGACTCGCCGTAGGCGTCTTCGATACTCAAAAGAAGCCTTCAGGCCTCCCCTGGCAAGGACAAGCTGGCATGCGCGCTGCGTCACGATTCTCGATGGTGCGCGCATGTGCCGCAGGCGTCCTCGACATCATGTCCACAGGCAGAGGCAAGGGAATGGTGGACTGCAATCACCAGCGTCAATAATTTGGAAGGCAAGAAAAGGATGGTCATGACTGAATCGGGTCAGAGGGACCGGGTCTTCATCCAGAACAATGTTTGACAATCGCAGGGCCCAGAAAGAGAATTGGAGAGCTGCAAACAACAAGCAAAAACCTCAAGACCCCTTTCACTCATGGCTGTGGGCTCCCGAGATGAAGAGAACTTGCGAATCCTTTCCGCCAAGAATGGCCGCGTCGGTCTGCTCATTCCGTGTCTACGGGGCTCAGACCACGACGATCCAAAGCTGGACGAACTTCCAAGCTCCGATCATGCTTCAGAACCTGCGGCGGCATTTCGTTCAACTAAGACACCACCCCGATGCAATATGAGGCTGGCAGAAACGTCATCACCTGACGCTCGAATGCTTGGCTCACCATGCAATCGAAAACGACCCCATCTCACAAAATGCTGTTGCAATTTAGATCTCGCCCAATTGACTGTGCGAGCGTTTTGGAAGCAACCGGTCCGGGAAATGACCAACTACCCACCTCAAACAACGCAGCAGAACAACATGTACGACCTGGCGGGCTCAATGGCAAGTTCAAGCTCGAAACGATGACTTCCACCCATACTCCACC